ACACACACACACACACACACACACACACACACACACGACACACACACACACACACACACACACACACACACACGCATACACAGCCGCAGACACACAGACCTTTACGCACATGAACACAGACGCACACGCATACAAAGACATGAACACAGACGCACAGACCTGAGATGTAGCGGGCAACCTCCTCACGCGACTGGCGGATGCCGTTTGAGTCGCTGTAGGCGCCAATGAGACCACCGCTCTGCAGATACGCATCTGCGCGCTCAACCACGTCTTTGGGGAAGAGGTTCTCAATCTGCTTGCGGTGCTCGTGGTTACCGGCGTTGGAGCTGAGCTCGAGCACAGACAGCACCTGCCTAAAGAACGTGATTGGCTCTTGACGAAGCGACTGCAGTGGCAAGAGCGCAGTGTGTCCAAGCAACGCATGGAATGAATGAGGAAAAGAAGGTGTGCTGGGTTGGATTGACCTGCTGGGATGTCATGTCACCACCACACGTGTACACAGACACAGACACACACAGACACACAGACACACACACATGTACAGACACACATGTACACACAGACAGACAAAGGCATGATCAACAGCTGACCTGGGGGTTGCCGATGTTGGCAAAGACGACCTTGTCAAAGGGGTAGCTGCCCACGCCTTTGCGCAGGTCCTGTCATGAATTTGTAACAAGCATGTCGACACGCACAAGACCATCATCACAGGCGCTTGTGAGCCGGTGCATGTACATCTCTTTCTTCGCCGTATCATGAACACACATCTCAGCACCTGACACACACGCCAGCGGTGCGCACATCAAGCATCCCCAGCACACACACACACACACACACACACACACACTCGCATGCACAGAAAAACAAGCGCAGACACGCACCTCGGCGATCTGGCCAGCCCTCAGGGGAATGGCGCCACGCACGGCGTATTGGGCCTTGAGCAACTGCGGGTTCAGGGCATCGGCTGTCCAGGTCTGAGCCCTGGCAGTGATCGCACGGCAAGCAAGCAAGCAAACGAGCAAGCAACCCAGTACAGCGTGCAGTGAGTAAGGTGTTGTTGTGGCGATGAAGATCGCATCAAACCACACGCTTCATCACGTGTACCACGCACACACACACACATACACACACACACACACATACACGCACACACACACGCACACACACACATGCACACACATATACACACTATATCCCAACCTGGAGAGGAGGGGGCGTGCTGCTCTCAAGACCATGGTTGGTGGGTTTGGTTGGTGGGTTGTGGGGTGTTGTGGGGTTTGTGTCGCATGTGGGTGCAATGACTCAGCACATTTCGCAATATAAGTGAATTCAGTTCCGACTTAATCCAGTTTCAACAACAAGCTAAAAAAGCAACGCCAACGACCACAACCGCACACATCAATCCTCACCACATCAACCACATCAACCACCACCCAAGATATGGTGTGCGCGAAATGTAAGTTAGTTTGAGTGTGATGTATGCATGTGATGTATGTACGCATGTATGCATGTGATGCATGTACGCATGCGCATGCGTGAGTCCGTGTTGCCGTTACGTGCATGATCAGTCGTGTTTTTCTCATGTCCACATCCCTGTCCGTCCATGTGTCTTTGTTGCGCTCATCTCGCAGGTGAAAAGAAGCTGGCAAAGCTGGAGACGCCAGACAAGTGGAAGGACGGCGCACGAAACACAAACGGTGAGTCGAACTAGCGCGCAGTTGTATCCTTGTGTGTGTGTTTGTGTGTGAACGTGCGTGTGTGCATGCATGTGCGCATCTCAGCATACGAATGCACATGTGCGTGTGCATCTTCTACAAGGGTTTCTGCTGCGCCACCACTGCCCTGTTGGCACCACAATTGACGTGACCTTCATCTCACAATCGCACTCCCCTCCTTTGTCACAGCATCCGACAAGCGCAAGATCGGTGCGAACAAGTTGCTCAAAGGGAAAAAGAACAGGTACCGTGCCACGACATTTTGTTCACGCACACCCACACACGCACACCCACACACCCACACACCCACGCAGACAGACAGACAGACAGACAGACAGACAGACAGACAGACAGACAGACAGACAGACAGACATACAGACAGACAGACAGACAGACAGACAGACAGACAGACATACAGACAGACAGACAGACACAGACACAGACACACACCACACGCGTGTTATGTAACCCCTTATCTACACGCAACTTACCTCCGCCCAACTTGCCACTCGCAAATTGTCAACACGTGCCCTGTGTGTAGATTCAACCCTTATGAGCAGTTTCACAAGTGTAAGATTTGCAAGGTCAAGGTGCACCAGAAGCACGCCCACTATTGTCAAGGATGCGCATACAAGATTGGTGCGTGTTCGTTGCGTGTCTGGCTTGCTCGTGCTTCCTGGTGGCTGTGTGAAGTCTGGCCTCGTTGGTTTGCAACTTGATGTCGCATGCTTCCGTCTCAGACCCATATTGACGACTCGTGTCTTGCTCACATCAAGCCGTCACACAACACCGCCTCTGCCCTTCCCTGTTCTCATCGCAGGCATTTGCGCCATGTGCGGCAAACAAATGATTGACACAAAGGACCTCAAGCAAACCAACTAGCAGATCACACCAGGCGTTTGTGTGTGTGTGTGTGTGTGTGTGTGTGTGTGTGTGTGTGTGTGTGTGTGTGTGTGTGTGTGTGTGTGTGTGTGTGTGTGTGTGTGTGTGTGTGTGTGTGTGTTGTGCTCTCTTGCAGTTTCTCTTCCTGTCTCCTCGTCCCTCTTTCATTCACTGCGACTCTGTTGGCGCCACCTTTTTTGTGTGCTTTCTTTCATGTCATGTCCCCATACCAATGAGCTCGTGTCCATTAACCAAACCCCTGCCTCGCTGCCATTGTCTGGTGCCATCTCCATCCCCTCTTCTTCCCCTGCAATCCTGCTCATACGGTGTAGACCTGATTCATCAGCGTGTATGAGCAGATAACATAAACAAAAATGATGGAAAGGGCGACACTTTCGTCACAGTGGCAATGTACAACATTGAAAAGCATCAGCAAGCGCATCGAGTGAGATGCTCCGACCACGTGGTGAATTCAAAACAAAACAAAACAAACCAATCAAGGAAGGAAGGCAGGGACAAGCAGCAACTGTCATCGTATCACTGTATACAGCTCAACCATCAGGCAAGAACCCAAGAAAGCCAGCAACCAAGCGCCAGCAACAAACCATTCGTCAACACAGACAGTGCAACACTACAGAGAGCAGCAGCAACGGTGGATGTGGTGATTCTGAGTTATGCACCAGGGCGTACTGCCCAGGTGCGGGAGCTGCCACTCCGCTCAGCAGCAACCTACAGAAACGGCGGCGTACACGTGAATGGGAATGGACAGGTGAGCATGTGTATCCAGTGCATGGAAAGGGCATGCAAATCAAGACAACGACGCTGCGACGTGAACAGAAACACAGACAAGGAGAGGTACTGGAGCACAGAGATGCAAACAAACAAGGTACAGGCAGAGGTACAAACACACACACACACACACACACACACACACACACACACACACGCACACACGCACACACACACACACACACACGCACACGCACACAAACAAAGCTACAAACAAACAAAGCTACAAACAAACAAAGCTACAAACAAACAAACAAAGCTACAAACAAACAACTCCCCCCTCCCCCAACACGCATACGCACCCATGCTGTGGCGCGTGACTTGGCTGCCCGGCCACCGGTGCTTGTGACAGAGCTCACAGACGACGCCACCATTCCGCCATATGCATAGCCGGCACCGATACTGCCACCCCGGCGCTGCTGCGGCGGCTGCTGCTGCTGGTGGCCGTGCGACGTGAAGGCGCCCTGTTGCCGCATCTGCCGCTCCTTCTGCATGCGGTCCAGCTCCTGCTCGAGCTGACCAATGCGCTGCATGGCACCCGATTTGCTCACGCCGCCATCCCGATACGCAAATGACCCCGTGCTCGGCGTCTGTGGCGTGTGCGGCGTGTGCGGCTGGGCTGCGCGGCCGTGTGCGAGCGTGCGCAGCCGTTGCACCTCCTGATGCAAGGCAATGTTCTCCCGCTGCAACGACGACAGCTCCGCGCGCATGTTCGTGTTGTTGTGTGGGGGCGAGTGCGGCTTGCTCGCGTTGGATGCGCTTGGCCGGCGGTCACTCTGCGACAGCGTAATCAGCTGACGCGCAAGCTTTTCCCGCGCAGCGGCCGCATCCTGGGCCCGCAGCTCCATCGCCCGCAGCCGCTGCTCAAAGTCCTCAACCACGTCCGCGCGCTCACGCAGCACACGTTGCAACTCAAGCTGCAGCTGGCGCACCCGCGAGTACGGCTGGTGCCCTCCCCTTGCTGCCGCTGCTGCTGGCGCCGTGCCATTGATGCCGGCGTCCGTTGAGGCGGCACCGCCAGCGCGGCGGACTGCGAGCTCCGCTTCAAGCTCGGCCACGCGGCCCCGCAGCTTGGCGTTCTCCGTGCGGAGCAGGACCAGGGTGTGGCCCGCGCTGTCGCCCGTGGCACTGCCCGTCTCCGACAAGGCTCGGCTCGCTGCGGACATGGCGTCCTCTGCCGCCGCGGCGCCATGCAGCAGTGCGTCTGCCTTGGCCATCTCGGCGCCATCATACGCGTTCCTCTCCGACGGCACGCTGCTGCCGAGGCGGAAGTCTGCGCCCGTGCTGCTGGCGGCGGACGGCGATCGCATCATGCCCTCCTGCCCAAAGCTCATGCGCTGCGGGCGCTTCAGCTTCGCGCTCGACGTGCCCTCCTCCTCCTCCGGTTGCTGCTGCTCAGAAGGCGCACGGCGGCCCAGCTCAGCAAGTAGCTGCTTGTTCTCCCCGAGCGCGCGGTCCAGCCGCTTCTCCAGGTCGTGCACGCTCGCCTTGAACGCCTGCGCCGCCTCCAGGCGCTCGCTCAGTGCGCGTTGCAGGTCGCCCTGCACCCGCACGGCCTCGTTTGCCTTTGGCTCCACGTTGCGCAGGCGTGCAGCCAAGGCTTCGTTCTCTGTCTCGGCCTGCGCCAGCGCGCCCTCTGCTGCAGCAAGTGCCGTTGCCAGTCGCTCCAGCTCCTGCGCTGCCGCCTTGTCCGCATCGCCCTCAGCCATGGCCGCCGCCATCCGTGACACCTCTGCGTTCAACCGCTCCACCTGCGCCCGCAGCGCCGCCACCTCTTGCTCCTTCGCCTCCGTCGCTTGCGCTGCTGCGTCCAGCTTGGCCTCAAACGCGTTTGCTGCTGCGTCGCGCTCCTCCCGCACCCTGCCCAGCTCTTCCCCCAGCTTCTGCATATGCGCCTCCACAGCACCGTGCGCGTTGCTCGCGCCAATGCCATCTGCTGCAGCCCTTGCCCTCGCCTGCGCCAGCTGCCGCGACACCGCCGTCAGCTCCTTCTCCAGCGCGTCCGCCCGTCTGCTCGCAGCATCGCGCTGCCGCCGCATCTCATGCAGTTTGTCGAGGTCAGCCGTGGCAGTGGCAGCGGAAGGGGCTGCTGGGGATGACGCTGCGCCTCGTGCGGGCGTCCCCTGCAGGCGATCTGCCGCAAGCACGTCGGCGTTTTCCTTGAGGGCCGCCACGCGCCCAAGCAAGCGCTCAATCTCCGAATTGAGGCGGCGGATGGTGGCTTCCTTCGTCTCCACCTCAGCCTGCTTGTCGCCCAGCTTCTCCTGGTACGCCGCCGCCTGCGACCGCCACGACTCCTGCGCAGATGCCGCCGCCCGCTCCGCTTGCTCGGCACGCGCCGTCAGCTCAGCCGTGCGTGCGCTTGCATCGGACTTGGTTTCCTCCAGCAGCAGCTGCGCCGCACTCACCTGTGCGCTGAGCGCGTCGATGCGGCCGTCTCGTGCCGTCAGTTCGCCCTCCAAGTGCAGCACCGTGGCCTGCAGTTGCGCAACCTCGTGTGCGTCGTCGCCCTGCAACTCCTGCCCGTGCTCCTTCTCAGCCTTGGTCCCATCCCCTTCTGCTTGCAGCAGCTGTTGCTGCTGTTGGCGCAGTCTCTCCTGTGCTGCAGCCAGCTCCAGCTTCACGTCGTGCAGTTTCTTGCGCGTCTTCGCCTGCGCGTCCGCCATGGTGGCAATGCGCTCCTGCTGCTCGCGCGCGTGCTGCTCAAACCGAGCTGCGCTCGCGGCCTTGTCGTCAACGACGCGTGCAAGCTCGTCCTTGAGGCGTGACACCGTCGCCTCCAGGCTGTGCCGCTGCGATGCGTCGGAGCGCATGCTCTGCTGGCCCAGCACCTCGCTCTCGCGCAGCAGCGCATCCAGCCGCCTGTTCTCGGCCTCGAGCCGCGTCACAGTGGCCCGCTGCCGCTGCACCTCCCACTGCAGCTGTTGCGCACGCGATGACGCATCGGCGCCGCCACTGCTGCGGCCGCTGGCATACACGGCCACAAACGCACCGGCAACCTCCTGTGCCTCGCTATCGTCTTCTCCCAGCGCCGTGTGCCCGTCGCGTTCCGTCTCAGGGGATGACATGGATGAAGACGAGCGGACGGAATCGCCTGCTCTTGCTTCTTCACCTTGGGTCTCAGCCTCACCTTCTTGCCCTTGTCCTTGTCGTTGCTGTTTCTCTGCTGTTGGCGGCGGCGCTGCCTTGACGGGGGTCCAGGTACGGCTGCCTGTGCCGCTACGCGAAACGGCCGCGGGCTTGGCTGTCAAGTCATCCAGCAGGCGCGCCTTGTCCGAGACGAGTTTGCTGTTGACCAGAGACAGCTCGTGCATGCGGTCCTGCAGCGTGCGCAGCTGCGCGTCCTTCTCCTGCAGGAGTTCGGTCAGCCGCTGCCTGTTCTGCGCCACCTTCTCCTGGAAGTCGCGCACGAGTGCGTCCCTGCCTTCGCGCGCAGCTGCCAGCTCGGTTTGCAGCCGCTGCACGCGCTCCTCGGTGGCCTTGAGCAAGGTGTCCTGGTCGCCGCGGTGGGCCGCACGCAGCGCCGCAAGCTCAGCCTCCTTTGTGGTCACTTGCTCTCGCAGGTCAGCCACCGTTGCGTCGTGCTGCTGCTTCTGCCGCTCCAAGTCATCGCGCGCCGCCTTGACGTCCAGGTCCCGCAGTGCACGCTCGCTCTGCTCACGGGCCAGCTCATCTTGGAGACTGCGCACCTTTGCGTCTGCGCGGCTTGCTGCCGCCGCGCCCTCTGCCTGCGCCGCCTCCAGCTCAGACTCCTTCGCCCGCAATTGCTGCAGCAGCGACGACACCTCTGCCTCCTTGTCCTTGAGTGCGCCCTGCATCTGCACGACAGCGTGCTCGTGCTCGCCCTTGACGGCGCCCATCGCCGCAGCACGCTCCTCGTCCATGGCGGTCATCTGGTCCCGCAGGTGTGTCAGCTCCTCCATCGTGCCTTGTAGCTGCTGCTCAAGCGTGGCCTTCTGCGCCGCAGCATGCTGCCGCTGCGACTCCAGCTCGGAGGCGAGCGCCACCCGCTCCGTCTCAAGCGCCCGCGCCTTGGCGCTCAGCGTCTGCACGCGATCGGACAGTTCGTCCGTCTGCTTGGCGTGCTGCACCTGCAGCGATGCCATCGCGTCTGGGTCGCCGGCCCTGAGCTGTGCCACAGCCTGTGCCAGCTCAGCCTTCTCATCCCGCACGTGTGCGAGCTGCGTGTCCAGGTGCGCAATGCGAGACTCAAACGCACGCGCCGCATCCTGGCGAGCAGCCGCGGCCTGGCTCAGCTGCATGCGGAGGGCCTCCAGTTCTCGGTCCGCCGCTTGCTTGCTCGCCGTCAGCCGCTGCATCGCCGCCTGTGCGTCTGCGAGCTCGGTGCGCAGGCGCTTCAGGCGCACCTCTGCGTCGCGCCGCTCGCCCTGGAACAGCGCATCCTTCTCCCGCAGGCGCGTGAGCGTGTCTGCGGACAGACGGTCTGCCTCGGACGTGGCTGAGGACAGCAGCATCTCCTGCTCGTTCACCTTGGCGCGCAGCAGCTGCAGCTCTTGCTCGTACTGCACGCGCTCGTCGTCCGACAGGTGCTGGCTGGCCGTGCGCAGCTGCTCCCGCATGCGATCGCGCTCCAGCTCCAGCGCCTGCATTGCAGTCTCCTGCTCGGCCAGCTGCGCCTTGTACCGCTCTGCCTGGGCAGCCACACCATCGCGCTCCGCCTCTGCAGCCAGCGTGCGTTGTGCCTGGCTGCGGTGCTCAAAGCCCAGCCGGTCAACCTCCCCTTGCAGGTTCGCCGTCGTGTCTGCCAGCTGCTGCTGCAGGGCGTCTCGCTCCTCCGCCAGCTCGCGCACGTGCTCCCGCAGAGAGCTGCGCTCCGCCTCAAACAGCGCCTGCTGCTCCTCGAGCTTGGCCAGCAGCTGCTGCCGCAGCGCACCCACCTCCTGCGGTGACGCGCCCTTCTCGCGCTCCGCGGTGGCCAGGGTGTCTGCGGCCTGCGCCAGCTTCGTCTCGTACTCCGCGCGCAGCAGCGCCACTTGCTCCTCGTGCCCCTGGCGCGCGTCTGCAAGGCGGGCCGCCGCAGCCGCCGCATCACGCCGCAGCCTGTCCATCTCGGCCTCAAGCTTGTCTGCCCGTGCCCGCTGCGCGCTGACGTTCGCCTCCAACGCCTCGACGGTGTCTTGCATGTGCGCGTCCTTGGCCTCCAGCTGCTGCGCAAACTGCTCTGCGGCCTTGCGGCGCGCCTCCTGCGCGGCAGTCACGTCGTCCTCAAGCTGCCGCACGCGCGCATACGCCTGCTCCGCCGCAGCAACGTGCTTGGACTCCACCAGGGACAGCTGCTCCCGCAGCTTTGCCTCGTACTCCTGGCGCAGGCGCGCAACGTCGGCGTCGTGCTGCTTGGCCGTGGTCTCCGCAGCGGCCACCTTTGCGCGCAGCGCTCGCACTTGCTGCTGCAACTCCTGCACCTCCTGCGAGGCGCGGGCCCGGTCCACGTCCTCAACCACGGCCGCAGAGTGCTGCGACTGCTCGTACTCGTGCTGCAGGGCGGCGTGCTGCTTCTGCAGCGTGGCCAGCTCCCGCCGCGCCTCTCCCACGGTCTGCGCGTGGGCCGCTGCCGCCTCCTCCAGCTGCCGCGTCTTGGCAGCCAGCCTGGCGCGGAGGTCAGCCACGACGGTGTCCTTGTTGCCCTGCAGGGTTGCTGCTTCGTTCTGCGCCAGCTGCGTACGTGCGCGCTCGTCGCGCAGCCGCAGGTCGAAATCCATCCGCTCAGACTCGAACAGCGCCTGCAGCTCCTTGGCGCGCATCTCGTGCTCCTCGTCCTGCTGTCGCATCTTCGCCTGCGTGCTTGCCAGCTGCTTGCGCAGGTCCTGCACCTGCACCTGCAGCTGCTGCAGGGCCTCGTCGCTGTCGGGCCGTACAGAGGGGCTCGCCCGCGTAACTGCCGCTCGGTCCATCGCCGTCAGCTTGTCCACCTCGTCCTGCAGCACAGCGTTGCGCTTGCCCAGCTGCTGCACCCGCAGCTCCAGCTCGCGCGCGGCCGTCTCTGCGTCGCGCTGCTGCCGCTGCCGCGCTGTCGCCGCTTCCTCCAGCTCGTGCTGCTTGTTGGCCAGGTCCTCCCGTAGAGCCTGCACGTTGCCTTGCAACTCCTGCTCACGCGTGCGCGCTGCGGCCTGCTGCGCCTGCAGGGCGTTCGTGAGCCGCTCTACCTCTGCCTCGGCGGCGTCCTTTGCGGCCCGCAGGTCCTGCACCTGCTGCTCCAGCTGCGTCTGCGTGGCCCGGGCGCGGTCGGCTGCCTCGCGGGCGGACGTCGTCATTTGGTTCTCCAGCGCCTGCACGCGCGCCTGCAGCTCTGCCTCGGCCTCGGCGTGCTCCTGCGCCCGCTGCGCCGCGTCCTGCTTGGCCGCGGTGAGCTCCTCCTGCAGTGCGCTCTGCTCCGCCTCGTGCTGGTGCTGGGCCTGTTCCAGCTTGCGGGTGGCGTCCTCCACCTGTGCTGTGAGGGCGGCCACGGCCTCCTCCTTGGCGGCCTGCGCTGCCTCCAGGTCCTTCTGCTTGGCAGCGAGCGCCTGCTGGAAGTCCTGCAGCGCCCGTGCGCGTGCCTGCTTTGCCGCTGTGAGCGCGTCCTGCAGCGCGTCCACCTCGGCCTGCGCCCGCTCCACGTCGCCAGCGGCCGCGCTCCGGGCAGCGGCAATCTCCGCCTCCTTCTGCTGCAGCTCGGCAGCAAGGTCCTGCTCCCGCTGGGCGTGCGCGGTGCGCAGCTTGGAGATAGCCTCCTGCAGCTGCACCACCTCGTCACTGGACGACGCCATGGCGCGCTCGCGCTCCTGCGTCATGGCGCTGAGGGAATCCTCCCCGTCTGCCAGCCGCTGCTGCAGCTTGGAGATGGTGGCCTCGTACTCCTCGCACGTCCGGGCGTGGTCGGCCTGCGCCTCTTCCAGCTGGCGCCGCAGGTCTGCGATGGTGGTGTTGAGGGCATCCACCTCCTGCTGCTTGGCCTGCAGCTGCTGCCTGGCCTCTGCCACGCGCGCCTCTGCCTCTGTGTTCTTTGCGCGGGCCTCCTGCTCCAGCTGCTCGATGCGTGTGTTCATGCCATCCATCGCCTCCAGCAGCCGCGTGCGCTCCTCGTCCTTCTCGGCAATTTCCGCCTGCAGCTTCTCCACATCCGAGTGCGCGGCGTTTGCCTTTGCCAGCTGCTCCCGCAGGGTGAGCGCCTCCGTCTCTGCGTCAATGCCTTGCTGGCGCGCGCGGGCCAGTGCCTCTGCGTGCTTCTTCTCCAGCTGCGACATCTTGTCCTCGGCCGCCTCGAGCGACGCCTTCTTGTCCTTGAGGTTGTGCTCCGCCTGGGCCAGTTTCTCTGCCAGCGCCTGCAGCTCGTCGTTGCCTTCCTGCTGCATGCGGTCCAGCTCGTCCTGCAGCTCCCGCTCGCGCGCCTGTGCGTCTGCCGCCGCCCTGTCCATGTCCTGCTTGTGCCGCGCCGTGAGTTCTGTGATGGTGTCTGCGCGCACCTGCTGCACCTGCGCCTCCAGCTCGTGCAGGCGCTCCTGGTTGGCCTTGGACGCAACCGTCTGCAGCTCGGCCAGCTGCTGCTCAAGCTGCGCCACGCGCTCGTCGCCGCCGCTGCCTTCCTCCGTGCCGTTCTTCAGCGCCATCTTTGCCTTGTCCAGCTCGCCCCGCAGCATGTCTGCCTGCGCCGTTGCCTCTGCAATCTGCTCGGCGTGCGTCTCCTGGTGCAGCTGCCACATCTCTGCGGTCTTGCGCTTGAACGCGTCGAGCTCGCCCTCGGCCTGCGCCACCTGCGACTGCGCCTCATCCAGCTGCCGCTGCGTCTCCCGCAGCTGCTCTGCAAGCTCGCTGCCGGACTTGAGGCGGAGGCGGGCGTCGGCCACGCGCGCGCGCACGCTGTCATTGGCCTGGTACTCCTCCCACTTGCGCTGCGCGTCGCGCGCCTCAATCAGGTCTGCCTCCATGGCCTCCAGCTTGGCCTCGTAGTCGGCAGCCTGCTTCTGGAAGAGCTCCTGCGTGCCGGCCTTGAGCTGCTCAATTGTCTCCTGCAGCTCCGCCACCTGCTCTGTCAGCTGCTTGTTGCGGCTCTCAAGCGCTGCCCGCACCTGCTGCGACCGGCCCATGTGCGCGTGGAACCTGTTCTCCACGTCGCGCTTCTGCACGGTGAGCTCCCTGAGCTGGAGCGTTGCCTCCTCGAGCGATGTCACCTCCACGTGCAGGTTAGCGTTGCCGGCACCTTCGCCCGCTGCCGGGCGGCGCGACCCCACAAAGGATTGCAGTTCAGAGCGCAGCTCGTCCGACAGCTGCGAGAGGAACGTCACCTCGTCCTGCAGCTCTGGGATGCGCACGAGGTCGCGGCCGGCTTCCTCCAGCTGCATCTCCGCCACCGCTATCTGCTGCAGGTACAGTGCAAGCTCCTCGCGGTGGTGCTCGGACTGCGTGACCAGCTCGCGCTTCAGCTGCTCAATTTCCTCCCGCAGCGGCCGCTCTGCAAACTCGTCGCCGTCCGCAGGCAGCCCGCTGCGGTACTGGTGGTGGTGGTGGTGGGGGGAGCGGGTTGGAACAGATGGATGGTGGGTGAACGATGCGTATTGCATTGTGAGGAAGCGCCCTCGGGGGGGGGGGGAACAGATGGATGGTGCAATTACTCAGACACGTGTCCACGCATGCATACATACATACGTACATACATACATACATACGCAGTGGGCATTCACGCATGCACACCAACACACTCACACACACAGAGCATGCAAGCACGAAATTGTGCAATGTGAATGCTTACGCGGTCTTTCAGGCGCTGCATCTCTGCATCGCTCTCTTCCAAGGATTTCTCGAGGGATTCGATGCGTTCACGTGCGTCCTTCATGCGCTCCTCATGAGCAGCCTTGTTCTCCATCAGCAGCCGGATCTGCTCGTCCTTTGCATCGTTGTCATCCTAAGTTCATCACCGACAGCAGTGCCAGTCGTGACGAAACGCGTGAGCCAGCCATAAGGCGCAAGCACAATGCAGGAATGATGTCGCAAGACCGGAAAACAGAAAGCCAGACACATGGCGTCCACGCTCAGGGCAAGACAGACAGACAGACGGACAGAGATAGAGATAGAGATATAGACACACACACACACACACAGACAGACAGACACACACACACACACGCACACACACACACACACACACACAGAGGCACACACGCCACGGATACCCCCACCCCTCCCCGGCTCCAAAACACGCACCTGGAGTTGGCGCAGCTCCTGCTCGAGGGCCTCTGACGTTGCGTTTGCGGTGCGGTTTGCAGAGAGCATGCGCACCTCTTCCTGACACTGCTGCAGCTCGGTGGTGAGCCGCGAGTTTTCCTGGATCAGGGCCTCGTTCTCTGCGCCAAGGATGCCTTTGTTGGACTTGGTGCGGTCGTCTTCAAACAGCTGGTCAAACGCCACGCAAAACTCCTCAAAGTCGAGCGTGTCATCGTTGCTGTGGTGCGGGCACATTGTTGTTGTTGTTGTTGTTGTTGTTGTTGTTGTTGTTGTTGTTGTTGTTGTTGTTGTTGTTGTTGTTGGCGGTGAGCGAACGCGTCATACACGAAGCTGCACAAAGTTTACATACATGCATGCATGTGCTCCCTTACGTTCACACAGGCGACACAAACGACAAGAGCAGAAGCAGCAAGCAAGTAAGCAAGCGAGCAAGCAAGCAAGCAAGCAAACAGCAGCAGAAGCAGCAAGCAAGAACCCACTTTTCATCGATGGACTTCATGACGCTTGTGATGAGGTTTCGGGTGATGCGTTTCTTGCCAAAGAGCGACTCGTCATTGAGAAGGTCAAACAGCTCGTCCTCGTTGATCTTCCCGCTGCAGTCGTCGTCGGCAACGCAGAAGAGGTCCCACAGGTACTGGTACTTCTCGTCGGATATCAGCATCGTCTTCTCCGTGCGCGGCGGTAACTCGCGCGTGGACGCAGCCAGCCCGTTCCGGCGCAAACGTGCAAACCTCTGCTCGGCATCGTTGTCGTCGTCAGGGCTGTCGGCGTGGCGCTCGTGCTCTGTATATGTCGCAAAGGTGTCCTGGGACTGCGCCTCTGCAGACTCGAGCAGGTTGTCCAGGTGCCCGTGCTTGACGGCCTCCATAAACTCATCGCGCGTGACTGTGCCGTCGCCGTCAGCGTCCAGCACTGCCATGAGGGCATCAACCACGTCCTCAATGTCAGACTGCAGGACGCCCAGCTTCATGGCCACCTGCGTGAGCTCCGAGCGGTTGAGTTCATTGTCGCCATCGCGATCAATCTCGTCGAAGACGGCGCACGCGCGAATGAGGAGGCGGCTGCGGTCCTCGTGCACCTGCGCCAGCCCAAGCAAATGCGCTCCCTGCCAAAACTCCTGCGGGGTGATGTGGCCATCGCCGTCTGGGTCCAGCTCCACCAGCAGGTGCTCCAGCTGTGATGGCGTGTGTCATGTGTGTGTCGTGCGCGCGCGTTGTGTCGTATGTGTGTGTGCATGTGTGTGCATGTGTGCGTTGTGTTTAGGAGTTGCGGGCGGGGATGTTTAACACACGAGGTGGGGTGAGTTGCATGTTTCAATGATGAGTGCAGTGACTATCATAACGTGAGGAGAAAGACATGTGAATGCACTGTGCTTTGCGTGTACGGTGTTGTTGTTGTTGTTGTTGTTGTTGTTGTTGTTGTTGTTGTTGTTGTTGTTGTTTCAGCCCTTGTCGTTGTTGTTGTTGTCCTTGTCGTTGTTGTTGTTGTCGTTGTTGTTGTTGTTGTTGTTGTTGTTGTCGTCGTCGTTGTTGTTGTTGTTGTTGTGAGGGAAGGTGCGTGTGGTAACTCGAGTTGATGCATGTGCGGCTGTGTTCATTTGCCTCGACCCCCCCCCCCCAAACAAACACGCAACTGTGAAGCATGATCACCTTTGCTTTGCGTTCAGCGTCGTTGTCGAGGCCCATCTGTTTGAGGACGGCGTCGAGTTCCTCATGGTCCAGATACCCGGAGTTGTCGCTGTCCACTGCTTCGAAGATCTCTCGAATGTGCGCAGGGGGTTCGCCACTCAGCTGCTGCTGCTGCTGCTGCTGTGGCTGTGGCTGTGGTTGGGAAGCCATGGTGGCGACCTGGCTTCCTGAGCGAGCGTGCATGTGTGTTCGTGTGTTCGTATATGTGTGTTCGTATATGTGAGCGTGTGCGTGCAAAAGACGTGTGCTTTGGCTGTGAGTACAACTGCTGGCTGGGGTGAATCAACGGTCAAACCACGACGGTCAAAGCAACGGTCAAGCAAGCAGGCAAGGAAGAAAGAAGTAGGGCGGCAAGTAAGCAAGACAGCAAGTAGGCGAGTCAACGACAACGTCTGTCACATCGCGCATGTCAAATGTAGCAAGCACCACGACAATCAAACATTCGGCACTGCATATCACGCAACTGCACACACACACACACACAGATTCACACAACTGCACGCACCACACCTTTCTTACTTGTGTTTTATCAGGGACGTGGTGCAGCGAGTGCTGTGGGGGCCGATCACACACTCACACTCACACTCACACACTCACGCGCACCGTTTGGTTGTGTGTTTTGTTTGCGTGGCTGTGTGTGTGTGTGTGTGTGTGTCTGTGTATCCACCCTGTGTGCGTGTGTGTGTGTGTGGGGGGGGGGGATCGCTTGTATCACTTGTATTGGACCTTGTGGCAGGCAACAAGAGCTGCTTGCGAGTCTCGTTGCTTGATGTGGTGGGGTGTGTGTGTGGTCGCCGATCACTGGGGGTGGCGCAGTTTGCCTTCTTCACACACCGCACACTTGACTCGCCCACCGCCTCTTGGTGCAACTGTGATTTGGTTGGTGCGGTTGCTGGCCGCAAGGCTCGGTTGCTCGTGTGCGAAGGTAGGGTCGCGCAGCAACAGGCGTGGGTGCGCAGCGAAACAATGGGAAGTTGCTTACGCGAGACTGGGCGAGTGAATTGAGGGTGGCGAACAACAAAGAACCGTGGCGCGAAATTTGAACGCAGGCAAGTCTACAGACCCTGAATTCAGTCGTGTCCACTCAGCAGCCAAGTAAAAAAGCAACAAGGAGCACAGGCCAACGACAACACCCACCTTCTTCACGACTTGTCACCTTGTTCCACGGACCCGTCCGTTGTCTGTTGTGGAGTCTGTTGTTTGTGTTTGACTGTTGCGGTATCGTGGAACGTGCCAACGCACGCTTCTGAGGGAAAAGGATGGCGCCTCCACACTTCCTTCGGGTGGCACAGTTCACGGTGAGCAGGAGTCTAGGAGAGGGTGTGTGGTGGTTTTGCTTTGGTTTGTGTGTGTGTGCATGTGTGCGTTGTGTGTGTGTGCGTGCGTGCGTTTGCGTGTGTATGTGTGTACGTGTATGTTAGATGTGCCTCGTTAACAAGCTCAAAGACGAGGGAGGCAGGAACAGGCATGTTGACTCACACGAAGAACACTGAAACACACACGCACACACACATACAACCACACACGTGATCTCCCCCCCCCATCTCCCCTTCCTTTGCCCTCGGTCTGCTTTCTCTCACGCCCACTCTGCAACCCAATCCCGCCCTTCCTTTCCACAACAGATTGTGGTGTGCATGTACCTGTTTGATGTGGCCACAGACTGGAACTTGTTTCGGACCATGCAAGGGTCCTATTCAGAGTTCAACGATGACTTCAACCCCATCTTCCTCGGCAACCAATCAGACCTGATGTGTACATGCTCATGCACGTCGGGAGACCCGTGCGTCACCCCTCTGTCCAACACAACCCTCTGCGACACCTTTGCGCTCAACGAGGGCGGCTCCTCCTGCAACATCCGCCATGTCGTCACCTTGGATTCCCGCAGCGGTGGCCAATGCGACTACACATTTGGCTACGACAAGACATCCAGCCTGATTGACGAGCTGAGCAGCCTGCGGTGGGCATCTCTCGCCATCAACATCATCATCACCCCGCTTGTCCTGTACTATCTCGTCTGGCAAGCGCGCCAAGGCCTGGACCACGACGAAGCCACCATCTCCAGGGTCATGTCCCGCAAGTCCTCGCGCACATCAAACTTCGACGCGCACCAGCTGGAAACCATACAGCAGGAGCAGCTGCAGCACAAACGCCAATCACAAACTAACTTCTCTGGTTCCGTCTCCAGTGACCACCTCCCGACTGCACCAAACGCCAAACACCCTTGTTTCAACTGCAACTTTGAGCTCCACCCCAAGGCTGTGAGTGCATGAATGCGTGTTTGTGTGTTTGTGTGTGTGTGTGTGTGTGTGTACGTTTGTGTGTTTGTGTTTGCGTTTGTGTGTGTGGGTGTGTGTGTGCGTGCGTGTGAGAGACACTGTGTGTGCGTGCGTGTGCGTGCGTGTGCGTGCGTGTGATAGTACGTCTGTCCACTTGTGTAGTTAGTGTGTGGACTGGTGTGACTGAGCCCTCCCTGCAAGCAGCATGCTGTACCCAGAACCCTGCTGTTCATTCAACCCTTGCGAAATGGCCCTCCCCCCCCCCCGCACTTACCACTCACACCCGTGCACTCGCATTGGCCAGCGGTTCTGCCCCAACTGCGGCGCCAAGCAGATGGAGTTCAACAAGGACACCATGCAGGGAAAGCAGATTCGACGATGGCTTAAGGTTCGCTTTCGCCCGTGCGGACGCTCTGTTCTGTGTGTGTGTGTGTGTGTGTGTGTGTGTGTGTGTGTGTGTGTGTGTGTGTGTGTGTGTGTGTGTGTGTGTGTGTGTGTGTGTGTGTGTGTGTGTGTGTGTGTGTGTGTGTGTGTGTGTGTGTGTATCCGGTTTTGTTTAGCCGTACGTCGAGTTGACACTGACACTCACGTTTCGCATCTTCATCACCCCTCCCTCACCTCCTCCATCCCCACCGCCACCCCCAATACACGAGCAGCGGTTCTTGGGCATGATGCATCTTCGCATGGTGTTCCTGCTGTTTGAGGACCTGCCGCAGATCATCATCCTCATTCGTTACATTGTCATCCTCGACTCGAACGAGGGCCTCACCTGCCGCTACTGCGCAGCCAACGGCGCCGCTTGCCGCTTTGCAGACGTCACGAAGCGGACAACCCTCATCATCAGGTGCGCACTGCAGCCGTCAATCTTGTTGTCGGTGGCACTTGTATCGGTTGTGCGTGTGTTTATGTGTATGTTTGTGCGCGTTTGTGTGCGTTTGTGCGTTGGTTGCGCGCTGGTTGTGTGTCTGTGTACGTATGTGTGTTTGTGTTGGCTCAATGTGCTTGTTTTCGTGCGCGCGTTCTTTTCTTGATTGTGGTGCGTGTGCGTACTGTGTGGAGTGCCACGGTCAAGATGCATGCATGCATGCATACATGTATGTAGTTGGATGAGAAACATCACCGTCTCCCTGGGTACAGCTCAGGCGTCACCTGTATACTGTGTTGTTGTTCATCCACGCCTCTGCTCTCCATTGCACTGCTGCTGCAGTCTTCTGGGAACGTTTGCATCGCTATTTGTGTTCCTCTTCCAGATGACGCTCGCAGAGATTCGCACATACCGCACGGTCTGTCAGCACACGTACACGCACGCGCTTGATGCTTGTCGGGGTGAAAAATGTGCGTGTGTGTGTGGTGGGGGGTGGGGGGGGGGGGGGG